CTGTCCTCTACATGGATCCACACTTCATCACACTTTTTTATTCGAAATTGAGGTAAGCTCAATATTATTAGAAAACCATCTTTCTGTCATATATACCACAGCTATTTGATCTACTTGCTGAAGCGAAATGTGATTGACCTGCTTGCAAAGAGTGGATTTGGATGTTTTGCAATCATACCGAATTGCTTTTAGCGCTGGTGCAATAAGAAGCGACTGCCCAGCAAAACAAAATTGGTTATAATAATACAATTAATGCTTAGTAGGATTATCCAACTCCTTTTCGTAATGCTGCTGAGGTCATCATCCTCTCCTAATGCAAATATTACGAATTGTCTAGATGGGGTCGGATCCCGTTTTCGCAAATTGATCATGTTGTCAGGGCGACTTAGTTGGATGCACCTTGTCCGAATTACTCTGCTATAATAGTTATCATATTTCCCAGCATCGGGCCATGGGCTTGGTACACTCCCAGACGTTTTGCCGGTAGCGTAGTTAACAGGTCTACTTGACTAGTTGTAGCTGAGAATGGTAAGACTCATTGACGATGCCGACTACTTTTCGTCTACTGTCCGACGCTGAGAATTATGATAGCAAAGGACTTCGGACAAGGTGCGTCCAACTAAGTCGTCCTGACAACACGAACAAGTTACGAAAACGAAATAAGACCATATTTACACCTCGAAAGGAGACTGCGACTAAAATATAGACCACAACTTATTCCTCAAATCAATCCTTTAATTCGTCATCTACTTTTTGTGCTGGCTTCCATCAGCTATAAAACGGATAATGAGTAAAGGTGGTTACAAGAATCTCTTAATGATGTCATATCATTTGAACTTTCGTTTTGTATTTAATTGTTGGTCTGTTGATTTGGTTGGAGTCCTGGATAGCCCAGCCTGAGACCACGGCGCAGCAGTTGACCACCATTCTTAGTGTGGTGCTTAGTGCATAATGCATCAACAATGGTTTCTTGTTCTGACGATGTCTGTCATAGCTGGACAAACGAAAGCTAAACACATATTCACTGTGGTCACAGTACAGAGCTCTAACCGGCAGTTTCACTTGTGAGGCAATCTTGATTCGATTTCCGGTAGTGCCACTTTGGGGATCCCATCAATTCGACATTTCACAAGGAATATTTTGAATATAAATAGGGTTTCTAATACCAGTCCTTCATCACCTTAAGCGAAATAGGGTGGATATATCTCAAAAATATTTTTATATTTTCATGAACGTCTGCAAAGCGCAGTCCTCGGATCGTCTTTATTCAATGACTGAAAAGTGTCTTCTCTTTGTCGGTAAAATGCCAAGCAACGTCGCCTCAATGGTCAATATTTTTATAAACCAGCTATGAAAATAACTGGGAATGGAATCATTCCTAGGCAACCGTGATAGTGTAACCATTTTCGGCAGAACGTTTGTCGAGGGATTGACTTCACTTGTTTCTTTGACGAGTTCGTAGCTTGGTGCGGAGGATGGCCAAACTGACTCATGATGCTGGCGAAACGTTTGAGAATTTTCCAAGTCCACTGTCTGATGCTGGGAATTAAGACAACTACTATCGCAGACGACTTCGGACTAGGTTCGTTCCACAAAGTCGCCCTGACAACAAGACTAAGTTGCGACAACGAGATGAACCCACTTCAATTCGTAGGTACGTTTACAGACCTTGTTACTTTCCGTCATCTTTAGGCATTAAAAGAAATTTTACTGATATTCATGATTGCGTTATAAAGGATGGATTCAACGCCTTATGTGCGACCTGGCTTTACTGTGTGCACAAATAAACTTATTTTTACATATACTGGCTACGGATGCTTATCAGCAGATAATAATAATAACTTCACCGAGTGTCATCACGATCATTATCATTATTCTGTTCTCTCTTATCATCGAGAGTTGCATGTCTTGACTTAATGGAGACTGTGACCTTTATTTAAGCGCAAGACCTCATTAAACGTTGATTGTTGTGGCTGGCAATTCCGTTTCCGATTCTAAGGTGAAGAGGAGGCTTGGTTCTGCCAATTAACGGCATCGTGACATCTGTTCAAATAGCGCATCCTCACGTAGCGTCGATTTCGGTACCAACCTGGCCGGAGTCCTATCTGCACCACCGACGAGATTATGGCTCAGTGAATATTGAGCTCGGGATCAGCCAATTGCACGAAAGCATTCCTTGCCTCAGGTTGCTGTAGGCCTATGAAAGCGTCTTAAAAATGTAGCTCGAAAGACTCCCTTGGCCTCCTGACTTTGCCCTATCCACGTGTACCAAAAAAGGGAATCAGTTACTTTGATCAGTCCACAAATATATGGCAAATCGATCATCCGAATATGCGCTCACATATTCATCTTTTGTATAATTAAATTGTCAACACATATGCACATACATACACATACACATACACACACACATACACACAATAATTTGCCTCATCTTTCCCACACTGTCGACACTCATTGTGTGACCCAATGATTAACACACTCAGGCATTCTTCCGGCTGTGGACCGACCTGCTGGCTCTCACATTCTCCCACTCATGCAATCAGATTATGACTCCCTCGTTCATTTGCTTGGCTCATCTGCCTCATTTATCTGTCCTTTTCTTTATGCCCAAGTCCACTTTCGCCCAGTCATTCTTTCATAATCTCGACAGCAAACAAAATTTAGTGAAAATTTGCACTAATTCCCCGAACTTCCCAATTTCGCAATCTTATCTGTTCAGTCACCGATTGACTAACTCATTATCTCTCATCATTGTACTCATTCACGTAGCAATTCTTCCAATCACCTGTAGGTCTACGACACTTTTTCACCACATCATTTTAATATGCGCCCCTCGCCATTACTCACATATTCATCCAGTTAATCTGTCTCCTCGCCTTCTACCACCCTTTGCCTATCTACCTATGAAACATACATGCAAAATGTGTACACATATATGCACACTCACCCACAGATGTAAACATATCCACACTCATGTGAAACGTCTTTGACAAGCTGTTTTAACTAGTTCTACACCAGCAGTCCAAATGTGCAAATCCCTACTCACATGTCCTTCTCGAACAGTCTCCGCCTATGGCGAGGATGTCTTTTACGTCCAACCCTCTCCCGATTGCTATTCTCTCTCTCTCTCTCTCGCCTCCGATATGGGGGTTTCTGCTTCTGCTTGAAGACCTCATCTAAGGCCTACATAGCTTTTGCACGTCTGTTTGGCTAGCTTGACTGAATGTGAGTGTAAGTGTCTTGGCGTCGGGCTTCCACTGTCCGTCCAGAGTGGAAATTACGTCTATCCATCGTCCGAGTGGATCTGTCCATCCTTTTGAATTAGTTTTGGGAACTGGATCGCTTTCGACACATCTTCCTGCTTATCTATCCACACGCTCAATGATAGATGACAATCGGTCTATGCTTGTATCATGATTTTTACTTGCTGAGCGGCTAGATGCATTTGCACCTGCCGACATGACCTCGTTGGATGCCTATCTATCATCTCCTACCTCTCGGACAGTGTGCAGCCACAGCTCAGATATAAAAGTAAATTTACCCTTGATCCTGTCATTTTTCCAGACCACTTTTCGCCCTGCCCACCCAACATCTGACCGTCCGACTGTCGTAGCGAGCCAAGCAGACACAGGGACTCGTAGGCATTGTGCATTGGCGAGGCTAAGAAGGAGAGAAGGATAGATGGTACAAGTGGGAGTCCAAGTCTACGACAGAGACAGAGAGGGCCGGACTAATAATAAGTAGTCAGAAGAGGAGGAGCAGATGGGATCCAGACTGTCACAGGATCGCCGGGTAGATATGCGGACAGAGTAAGCGATAGTCGACAGACGGGCATACTGATGTGCAGACACAGAGAGAGAGAGAGAGAGAGAAAGAGAAAGAA